CCCAAAGAAAGTAATTTGCCCAAGAAAACACACCTAGTAAGTTATTGAACTAGCATGTGCGCCCACCCAATCTTTACTGTGTTTCCTTAAGCATCATTCTCATTGCTGCCATTGCAGTGACAAGAATAGATTCAATGAAACAAATGTGAGTCGATAATGTCTTCTATAACTACACTTCCTATCGGTAAACTTAAACTTATCCTTGAACCTGTAATTCTGTGAAGTACTTTAGTGAAAATTGAATTTGTTTCACTAAAACGAATTCTAAGAGGTAATTTCTATTAATGGTAACTCTGTAGTGTTTTATATTTAATATCTGATGAAAATTTTACTATTTGAAAAATACCTTCCTATTTGTTATATAATTTAGAACTATTGCATCTTAGTCCCAATTTGACTACACTGTTATCAGTAATGATTTAAAGTATGCTTAATCAAATAACAATGATAATACATAATATGTTATGCATTATCAAAAATTCTGACATAAAAGCAGATTATTTGTTACATCTAATGATTTATGCAGAGAACTGTCATAGTATTCTATGCATTCAAAGTGTGGAGAAAATAAAGTTAAGCATTTTTTCTTAAGTCATAATATAAACATTTGAACCTATTCGGTGTTCTGATTGGGAGTCCACCTTGCCTAAAGATAGCTTATGAACTAGGAGGAGTAAAAAATAAAAGTGTATATTTGCTCGTTCTTGTTAATGTCTGTACCTATTCTACATTCTTTTAAAAAAAATTAAAGAACCTCTTAATATCATAGTAAACTCAGTTTCCCACTTTCTTTTTCTTTTATGTAGAGTTTAAAGTCTATAGTGAGACACATTTGAAAGTGCCCCAGTCATTTCAAATACTTAATGTTATACCATAAAATAGCCTATGAGCTTCACCAGAGCATCTGCCGTATACCTCTCTTACATTCTAGACACTCTGGCACATGATTGTGCTCAATACAATTCTGTTAGCTGAACTGGTGAATGCCTTTTTCAAAGATATCTTTCTTGATCTTCCATCTTATACTACTAGAGCAATTCCTTTCCATCAAGCATTGTATTGTGGAGTTTCTGCATGTGTGTGTGTGTGTGTGTGTGTGTGTGTGTAAATTGTAATGTCATTAGGCATAATAACTGTATACATTTACTTAGCTAATGTGTGGACTTTATATAACTCTGTATCCTCTTTAGTGTATGTCATTAAGCGTTTTCTCCCCAATGGATACAAACAGAATGAAGCATTTACACTGGTGTTATCTATTACTGTTGACCCTTGAACAACACAGATTTGAACTGTGCGGGTCCACTAACATACAATTTTTTTTAATAAATACGAATAAGTGCTGTAAATGTATTTTCTTTTCCTTATGATTTTTTAAATAACATTTTTTCTCTAGCTTGCTTTGTTGTAAGAATACAGTATATAATACATATAACATACAAGAAATGTGTTAATCTGTTAATCAAATGTTTATGTTATTGGTATGGCTTATGGTCAACAGTAGGCTATTAGTGGTTAAATATTGGGGGAGTCAAAAGTTATATGTGGATTTCAACCACTTGGGGATGGGTATCAGCACCGCTAACCTTTGTGTTGTTCAGGGGTCAACTGTATCCTTTTTCTATACTGTCTTCCATTCTGGTGTTATTACTTTTCTGCCTCAATATCTCAATCTAATACTCTATCCCCATGCTTAATAATAGGAAATTTACTTCTCATCATTACTTCTTCATATCCTTAAATACAAATTGGTTTCCCCAGGTATTTACAGTTTAATCCTTTAGTCATTATTGGGAATGAAAATTATAGATTCCTCTTTAGGGATTTTTGGTTAAGGTAATACAGAAGATTGACAGAAAGGGTAAAAATCATTTATTTATATCCTATGCCATACTAAGCTGGTGGGCATCATGCTAGCTTGGATCACATTCAGCCATAATGATAATTAGATAAACAAATGCTGCACCTCCTCCACCATCTTTACCTCTACGTAAACGTATACATACAAACCCTTCACAAATTTAAAATCTCTAAAGGTGAGCCTGAACACTTGTACATTTTTTAAAAAATCACAATGATATACTCTCATTTTTGAGAATTATTGTACTAGACACTTTTCTGTTATATTTCATTTACTCTCAAAATAACCCTGTGAGGAAAATACTACCCCATTTTACAGATAAGGAAACTGAAGGAGCTAAGAATCTCTCTTAAGGCCACAGGACTATTTTCCTGGGAGCTAGAATTTGATTCCAGATCAGGACTCCAAACCCATTCTTTTTTCAATATTTTGCCACTAAAATTTATTACCAATAAAAACTGATCCTACAGGCAATCTAGTCAATAGAAAAGATGGTTGGGAACCAATATGGGTCTATCAGTCAGGGTCTCAGAAGAAAGAGGAAGCACATTAATTTGGGTCATTTGAGAAAAGTTGAATATCGACAGTTTATAGTAGCGTAAGCAATACACTCTTACCAGTTGCAGTGGACATGGTTAATACTTGTAGACCTGAAGATGTGAACCTCAGTTTAATGGACTCTGGGGAAAAGGATGGCAGTGGGAGGAAGAGAGGGGAAAAAAAAGCGAAAAGGAGGTAAAGAGAGCTGTCATACAGGGTTGTGCTTCTTGATCCAGGGATGCAACCAGATCCCAGAAATCCTGGAGTGGGGTTAGGTGAGTCATGGTCTTGCCAGTCTTTGTCATTGGCTGAATCCAACTGAAAGTCAGAAGCAAGGGACCCTAAGGACGTAGTTTACATTATCAGCCACTAAGGACAGAGAAGGGTTCAGAATGGATCAGAGTAAGTCAACAAGAAGTGTAGAACTGTATTTTCTCTATTCCACCCCTCAGGTTCACCCTCCATTCTTTCTTGCTGTAAATGACAATGATGGGGACAAAAGAAACAGCTATTTGCTTTTGTATTCTTTAGTTCATAATTGCAAATATTTCTGAAATGTTCTAGTGTACTTTCTTACTAAGATCCATAAGCATCAACATTTGTTCTAGGTTTACTATATTATAGACAAAAAAGTATGAAGTACTGGTTAACCCTTTTTCCATTTGTCCCAAGAATACTCACTGGCAGTGTTTATGGCTACAGCATTTACCCTGAGATAACTTGCAGATTATAGTCCTAACCTTACCCTCAAAGTTTGCCATGAAATATTTCACTTTATTATTGTTTTTACATTGTTCTAGTATATCGATAGCCTTTGGAAACAAATTACATCATTCTATTTATAGCATTCTGTTTTTTAGTAGTTCAATTGCTGAAAATGTCAAATCCTAGAAAACAGCATTCCTACAGATGATGTTAAATGAATGCTGGCAACTAGGTGCACTTTTTTTTTTCCTAAACAGGAAAAAGTTAAGCCTTCCCTCAACTAGGGACATATTCCTTAAATTTGGAGTTTTTTTGTTTGTTTTTAGTTCAGTTAATCAAGGTATTGTTTACTTACAGAAAAACTCACCCCTTTTAGGTATTCAATTCTGTCAGTTTTCAAAAATGTGAACAGTTCTGTAACTAACACTACAGTTAAGATACAGAATATTGCCATCATTGTAAAAAGTTCTAAAGCTTTTTAAAATCTTTAATCTCACTCAACCGAATATTTGGTATCAATTTTTGTTTATTCTGATTTTAAATTAAAAAAAAAAATGATGTTATCACCTCACAGTGAATTACACAGTGTGCTATTATGAAAAATATTTTTCTCAGTTTGTTTTCCCACTCTTCTGAGTAATATAAACTATTCATATTGGTTATGAACTTATTTCACTATATTAGGCTGAGGAAAAGTTTATAATTTTGGCTGCACGTTGAAATCACCTGGGTCTATTAAATGATCTGATGGCCAGGTAGCATCTCATTAAAGCAAGATATGTGGGGTTGAGACCAAGGTGTCAATAATCTGAGTTTTCCAGGTAATTTCTTATGTGATGAAGGTTGAGACCCTATAAATTAGAGCAAATTTTATGGACTCTGGCTGCCCAGTAGAATCTCCTGGGCAATTGCTTAGAAATACTAATACCATTCCCCCCATTCTGATTTATATAACTAAAAAGTGGACAATGAGAGTGGACAATGAGAACAAATGAGATTTGGGTAACTTAATATATCTGAATGGTTGGGCTCCAGTTAATCAAGGTTTTATTATAGTTCTGGGTATGTGGTGATATTCAATAAATGTTAAATGGGTGTCCTAATCCCACAGCAGAGTCAAGGAGAATAATATATGCCCTCTCTTGGAAATAAACTGTTTGTGTATTTGAAATAATTATCTTGGTAAAGTATCACTTTCTGAAAATTGTCCTCCTAGATAATTTAACTCAAATGGTACCTTGTATTTTAAGAGAACATTATACTTCAACTATACTTTTTCACCATATTATTAGGCACATATATATCTTATAGCACTTTCATAATTCTCTCCAAGGAAATAGACAGGAAACAAGATTAAAAGATTGAGAATAAGATTTAAACCAGCCTCCCACTTGGAAGCATAAATGATGCTATTGCACCTCTGGGTCTGGAGAATACTGCTACTTTGTAAAATAGAGCACTAGTACTGTCTGCTTTTATAATGACGAAATACATACAAAAATAACACCTAATATCAATAACTAGAACAGAAATGAACTAAGTATCTAATGAAACAGTTATGGGATTAGCAAAATATTTACATATGATATCTTTTATAGATTTCAGGAACGAGAAACTAAAACAAAAATCTTTTTAGCATAAAGTTATTGATGATCTATTATAGCAATAATACTCATTAAGCAAAACTTTAAGTTATAAATAATCAGCATGCTGCATATTTTAATGTACACTAATGGCAGTAGTTGTTGTATTTAATTCCTCAATATAAACTAGTGCAACAAACAGTATTTTTTTAAAGATAAATGTTCTTGTTTTAAAACCAAAAATATAAAGTTCATTTGATTTGATGTTTCCACTTCTTATTTAATTGTTCTACTCCTTTTTTCCCTTTTAGGACCACCTCATAAAATGGCATCACCTAAACAAGAGCATGAAGATAGGAAACATGACAAAGTCACAGATAAAGGAAGTGAAAGTGGGACTTCCTGTAATGAGCTCTCTACTTCCAGTTGTGACAGCCACTCAGAGGCAAGCACTCCCCAGGACAACCCACCCAATGCCCAACAGGCAACAGCTCACCAACCTAATACCTTAACATTGGATCGTCCCTCCAAAAAAGCACCTGTGCAATGGATGCCCCCACCAGACAAACGTAGAAACAGTGAACTCTTTCAGACACTCATCAGCAAGTCTCGGGAAACAAATCTTTCCAAAAAGAAAGTCTGTGAGAAGCTCAGTGTGGAAGAAGAAATGAAAAAGTGTATTCAGGATTTTAAAAAAATTCACATACCAGATTATTTTCCAGAGCGCAAACGCCAGTGGCAATCTGAACTGTTGCAGAAGTATGGGTTATAGTAATTATCACATTCCTGCAGTATTTCAATGACATTCAATGTTTACTACAGTGTCACCACCTGACTGTGCCCTAACAATGGTCAGTGTGATGCTTGCTGCTCTTCCTTTGTGTGAACAGTGGATGCGGGACAGTATTTTCTTTCATTCTTTTTGTTGCTTTTGTTTTTAGAAATATGTATTAAAAAAAAGAAAACCAGTTCATGTTGAATCAAAATGCTGTATCTGATTCAAACCATTTTGCAAGAATGAAAGTATAATGTGCATGAGCAAGAAGCTTAGAATCTTGATTTTTTTGAACTGTGGTCAACTGGGTATGTTTGTCACTTTGTAATTCACCAAAAAGAAATCATATTACTTCAATTAAAATGACAATATGAATGAAGCAACATCAAGTAAAATGTTAGATAATGGTTTTGGGACTGAAGTACAAAACTGTTTAAATGTTAATGCAATAAAACAAGTATTATTTTTGCATGAGCACAATGTTACAAATAAATCACAAGACATAGGGAAGATCTGTTTGTTTCTTGGAAAGAAAAAATATTACAAAAATAACGCTAAAAAAATGTTTTAGGCAAAGCCTATAAATGTATGCTGTCTAAGAGACTGAATCTGTGATTTTTTGGTGTATGTGTACGATGTCCTGTATGTTAAGATGGTGTAAATATGCCTTATACTGTTGTGTTATGGCACTGACATTCATCTATTAATGCTAGTCATGATTATTTCTGTGAAATGATTCCTCACATCAGGCTGTGAAAATTGGTATGATGATGCTCTGAAAGATTCTATTATTATGTTAATCAAAATAATTGAGGGAAATAGTAAAGAGCTTTATGTGTTTATTAAAAAAGGAAAATATATTAGAATTCCTTGATTTCTATTGACTTTTCTTTAAAAATATTCTACTTTTACATTGTTTTCAATCTTCTTTTAAAATCCCAAGCTGGAGAATGAGATGTTCAGCCTTAATGATGACAAGTTAGAGTTTTAATATAATTTAAAATGGAAATCGAGTCATATCCAGATAGCCTTGGTATTGATTAATAAACCCTTATTCCACAAGATAAAAGACGTCATCTGAAATGATATTTTGCTTTACCATTTCTACAGAAAGAAATGCATAATATCATGAAATTTCTTTAAAGAAAAGGCTAAGAGAAGGTTAAAATATCTTCGAGAATTATAGAGCTCAATCTCCTCTATGATTAGTTGAAATAGAAGTTGAGTAGCTCTTGTGGATAATATGTGGAGGTAAGCAGTAACTCAAAATTTAAAATCTACATTCATTTTCTTATGTATTTTTAGATTTGTCACTCTACTAGTATATAAAATACCATCAACAGTGGACTATTAAAGAAACATAAATGATTTATCTTTAATGACTGATCGAGCTTTAGGGGAAGAGCTACTCTTAAAATCTTATTTCATTTTGGGAAGATTGGAAGTCTCACCATGGCTTGATGTAGTTGCAACACACTTAAATGGTTAGAGGTTGGTTGGTAGGTTGCCACAGTTCAAATACCACTCCTAACACTTACCACCTGTGTGATCTTAGGGGATAATAATCATCATCATCATTGAGAAGATTTAAATGAGGTCATTGAAATGAAGAATCATCACTACTCTTGGAGATGGAGGAAGGTGGTGGTCTTATCAGGATCCAGGAAGCAGGGCTATCAGATGGGGAACTGGGAATAGAGAGGAATAACTTCTCCAGGAATAACTTCTGTAGCCACTAAGGAGTCACAATCCCTTCCAAAGATGCCTCCTAAAGCAAAGACAGAGGGAGGAAATTATCATAGCTTCTCACATTTCAATTTCCTACCAATGTTTTCCATTGTCTCAATATCGGTGGAAGCTTGTTGGCAAATGAGCCTAGGAAATGTAATTTACAGATATGATCTCCTAGTGCTAACAAAGCCCAGCAGCAAAGGATGGTGAATAGATTTGAAAAATATCTCACACCCTGCTCTGTTTTTCCCCAACACAAAATTTCAAATAGAGTCACAATTGTAAGAATTTGGTATATGGCGACTATTTCAGATCTTCATATCTCTACACCACAAGATAAATTATGCTAGTAGGAATGTCTATCCTACAGTCGTTAGCAAATTAAAACCCATTTTAATAATAGTCTATTGAGCACTTATCATTCATGAAGCTCTTGGCTCAAAGATTAACAAAAAAAAAAAATTAAGAAATACAAATTACTAGTTATTGCCCTTGAGAAGAAGCTTATGGTCTGGTTTGCTCAAACTATTATGCTTTCTGGCCCCAATTGGGGTTAAGAGGGGATCAAAGGAGGCAGCTAGAATGTGTACTCTTCTCTTAAGAAGAGAAAACTCCAAAATTTAGAAATGAGTTGGGCAAAAACTAGGGTATAAAACTCCTTTACCAAAGCATCAGGAGATAAAATCAGGAGGGCCAACGAAAGTCAAGAAAGCTGGAAGCAGGCACTGAAGTTGAGTATTTATGGAGAATAAATGTTTTGGAGGTCACATGGTGTACCTTCTGTCTGATACACAGTTGACACACAACCTGATGTGTTATGATGTGTTATGATAAGTGACATGATGTGTTATTGTTGTTCAAGTGGAAACATTGAGTAAAAATTAAGAGGAGAAAAGGAAATAAATGTTAATTGTGAGAGTTTCAATTTTGGAAAAGTAGAGTAGACTAACTCTACCTTGTTCCTCCCATTAAATATAACTAAAAACTCTAGACATTATATATAAATACACTTAAGAGGCTCTGAAAGTCTGAGAGAAGGAAGACCAGCTAGGGACATCAGGACTCAAAGTAACATATGGTGATGAGTTTCTGAGGTTTTCTTTTTGCCTCATCTATCCCAGTTTTGGAGCTGAAAAAGACTGGTAATGCATAAACACTAGCAGGTGCAGACAAAACAAACCCCAACAAAATTCTGCTCTCTCTGGCCCTTAACAACCAAGCAACCTAGCAAGACAGAAAACATTTAAATAATAACTGCTCTGCTGTGTCAAGTTACAGGTAGGTGGACACCATTGTATTACATAATTATCTTAAGGCTTCTCACTTTTTTTAAAGACTAGTTTTTAAAGAAATTTTAAGTTCACCGCAAAATTAAGAAGGTACAGTGATTTCCTACATACTCCCTAGCCCACACTTACATAGCTATCTGCATTATCAAAATTTCTCACCAGAGTGGTATATTTGTTACAATTGATAAACCTATATTGAGGCATCATTATCACCCAAAATCCATAACTTATATTATTGTTCACTCTTGATGTACATTCTGTGGATCTGGACAAATGTATAGTGATATATGTCCATACTATGGTATTATACAAAGTATATTCACTGCCCTAAAAATATTTTATGCTTATTTATCCCTCACCCTTATCCCAACCACCATTAAAGAGATCTTTTTACTATCTCTATAGCTTTACCTTTTCCAGAATGTTGTATAGTCAGAATTATACAGTACATAGCTTTTTTGAATTGGATTCTTTCACTTAGTAGTATGCAGGTCTTGTTGTGGCTAGATAACTCATTTATTTTTAGTGTTGAATTATATTTTATTGTCTAGATGTACCACAATTTATTCATTCACTTACTGAAAAACAACTTAGTTCCTCTTGTTTATGGCAATTATGAATAAAGCTACTATGCTATAAACATCTATGCACAGGTTTTTGTGTGGACATAAGTTTTCAACTCCTTTGGGTAAATATCAAGGAGCAAGATTGCTGGATCATATGGTAAGAGTATGTTTAGTTTTAATGAGGTGTGAACAATGACTATGATAAAGTGCAGGCAGGGGGCAGACTATAATAAGAGCACAAATATTGCTACATAGATTAGAGGAAAGAGACAATTTTACAGTAGAAGTCAAATTTGAGCAGAAACTTGAAACAATGGAGATGTACATATAAAGATGTTGAAAAGGGAACTCTACAGGGAAAAAGACAAGTCTATAAATTTATATATGTAACAGGACAGTAGTAACTAAAGAATTCTCAGAAAGAAATTTCACACAAAAAATTATCAAATATATTTTGGAATACAAGTTTTTAATGAATACATTACTCTTATGCTAATGAATATATTAATGCAGAATATTTTATTAATATTCTTCATATTCAAGGTTATATTTTCTTGAGTAAATTTTATTATATCCACCCAGTCTCTTTTTCTCCTTGGTCCTCAGTCTTAGTGCTTTGCAGCAGCAGGGCACTAAGGTAGAATCAAATTAGTTTTTTAGAGGCATATAGTAAAAAGACTGTCACTACTGTAGCTACAAGTTCACACTTTTGTTGTTTTCCACTTGATAATAATCAAGACTATACTGGTTTGTCTTCAATTTTTTTCTTTCAGGTCCATGCTTCACGCTGCTGGAAATATAATCTTCAAACACAATTTTTTAATATTCTCTTGCTTAAAACCTTTCATTTCACTGCCTAGTAGGAAAAAAAAAAACTTACAAATGACTTTGTTTAATTAATAAAGTTCTCCGTTTTCTGCCTTTTCTTTCTCCAGTTTTATCACCATTCACCCACATATACACAAGCACACACACACACACACAAATACACACATATATCCTTTTTTCCAGCTATTTCTAACTACTTCTAACTCCCAAGTAGAATTTGCCACTTCTTTCTTTGTGTCCACTTCCGTAATATTTATTATGACAGGAACAAAATTCATTAACTTTTGTGAATGTTACTCCCTTTGCCTCTCCCAAACTAAAGGTGAAGTTTCACCAGCTCAGTCCTCACCTATTTGGTGATACAGAATAAAAGAGATTGAGAATAAAAGAAGCACAGTACATATCCCATTCCCATCACATTTTTTTTCTTTTTCCTCTTAGCTTTGTTGTCATGGCAAAATGAGTTATTAGAATAGCATAACAGCAATTTGCAAACCTAATGAAATAACGGATGTAAGCAATAGTCATCTCCAGCCGTTAAAATTATTACATGAAAGGATAATGAAGAACTTCATAATAGGTGGATTAGGCTGATAGTATTTGATCCCACTGCCAAATCTTAACATCATGTATAAGGAGACATCAGGCATTAGTGCCTCTTAATGTGAAGCAAGAAGTGCTAGGAAGCTTGCAGCACTAGCTACGTATGATGTGTTCTTAACCAAAAACATTAGAGTTGAATCTGATAGGTGACTATATCTAACTGCCAGTTTGCTGGGAAAAAAGAAAACTTGAAATAACAAAATGCAGTCAATTTCTGAAAGGGAAAAGATTCTACATAACAAATTACCTGATGTATTCAACAATAAAATGACAAGGGAAAAACAAAAAAGAAGGAAGAAGGACCCATTGTCAAAAGATATATACTGTACATGTGATTGTATACTGATTCTAATCAAACTAACTGTAAAAATAATCATTATCATCATCATCAAGGAGTTTTAAAATATATGTTTAATGCTAATAAAAAATTATTATTTTAACAGTGATATAGTGGATATGTTGAAAAGAATGTCTATATCTTTTAGAAATACTCTCTGAAGTATTAATAAGTAAAAACAATGAGATGTCTAAGTTTATCTTTAAAATAACACATGGAGCATCTTGAACTAATGGAGCAAGTTTGTCTATAGTGATAATTGTTGAAGCAAATGACATACTCATGGTTTCTTTTCACTTTTGCATTTATTGAAAGCCATAATTTTAAAAAATTAAACTTTTTAAAAGGAATTTTAAAAAGTGAGAGACTGTTGACTCAACCAATGGATAGGAATTGCAGGCAAAATTGAAAGCACTTTTGAGGTTAGTGAAAAGGAATTTATAGTGACATCAATTTATCTTTTTGTGTAACCCTCTGAAGCAGAAACAGACTCCTGGGATAGGAGGTTGGGA